TCATTTACCGACTCAAAAAAACATGCACATCCAGACCAGCATGTACCCTGGGAAACCTGGAAAAGCAAACCTATTGCAGAAATGTCTGATCTGGTTCATTACTGAGAATCACAGTTAACCACCGCCTACTGCAGTATTTCCATAAAATGTTTTTATTAGTTTTTTCAAAGTATTAACATGGATCTACTGTTAAAATGCATATTGAACTGATGAATTTGTCTTAGATGTGATTATCCTTTGAATGATAGCTGAGCTTTTGTTTAACTGCTGGACATGTGTCTTTCAATCTTTTCAGCAAAGCCTACTTAAAGGTTTTACAGCCATAACATAAGAAACAAGCCATTGCTGCAAATTTGCACAAAGAATCAATGACAGGTTTTAGGTATTTCCTTGTTGTGTATTGCCAGGTTTTCAACTAATTCTTAACTTTAAACTCAAAGAACTTAAACTAGCAGAGCTTTATGAAGCTACATGGACCCAGATTGAACTCTGTATTTATAAGGACACCTGGTGTTTGATATCTCTCTGCTATAATTACCTTGATAGCTAAATGACAGAATGATTATGAGGTGAAAAAGCAGAGCACAGAGCCTTTTATTGGAAGGCGTCTCAGAGAGAGTTTCAAACAATGAGCTGCTTTCTGAAGGTGTATGCCAAGAGCTCATTGTAAAAGTGAAAAATAAACCACCTCTCGTCTTGTCCTCCGTGGCAGTGCCTGACTCCGCCACAGAGAGCCAGTTAGCATGACAGATAGATAGATATGGAGAGGGAAGGAGGAAGGCACAGGCAGTCACCTTAAAGGAAATGCCATTCAACTGGATAATGATTCTGTCTATCTGCAGGAAGGTCTATCAACTAGAACAGGTTCCGCGTCTGCCTTTTTGTCCTTCTGCGTCGACATTTATCTGACTGTCTGCCTGTCGCTGTCTGTATGCAATTCGACTGTCTACTTCTCCTGTAGCGTGACCCAGACAGCAATTAGTATGGGGATTGACAAGCAGCCGCAGGCACCTGAGAGCACACACTGCTCACAAGACAAATGTCTTCATTCAAGACTACCAGATCTCAGCAAGGACAAGTGGAAACGTTACACAATTTACAATGAGTTTCCCTTACTGGCTACAGCTGCACAACTACTGTAGTCTTTGCATTGATACATCTGCATTATTAAATGCATCATCTCAAACCTTTTACATCACCTCAGTAAAGACCTTTAAAGTTTTCCAATTACCGTTGAAAAATACAAACCTCTTAATTAAAGGATGTGGTTTTATGGTATATTCTATTCGCATTCATGGGTCAGGGTTCCTAGGGATAAGGTTGCCTTACTGCATAACTAGTTTATACATGTATAATATAATACATGTATGCTTTCTATTTCCTTCATAACTGTTTATTATGCATTCAACATATTTTTCATGCTAAAAATCCTGTCTGAAAATGTTTATTTTACTTACAAGGCAATAACCTAATCTCAAATGTTGAACCTAAGCAGAAAAAGTTTAGCCATGAGAGATAAGGCTGTTTAACAAAAACTAGTCAGTTTTGTCTTTTGCTCACCCTAAATAAGTAGATTCACTCTGAAAACACATGAATTTGAATGTAGATGAGCTGTTATGAGTAAATTATTTATGTAAATGATTTATATTTGCCCTTCTGTAAAAATGTGGTGTATAGAAAGGGTTGTCATGGTAAAACAATGAATTGTATGAAAGGGGTTATCTGCAATACTACTACACAGTAAATTCCACAGTGTTAAATATGCAGTGTCAAAGTACATGGACTCTGTTATAGTTATTACAACAACAACTGGAGTAAAATATACACTTCGTAGAGTTCTAATTTAACACTAATTCCAAGTAGGACCAAATGCACTCTTAAAGTGTAACTATAACACTTCAGATTTTACTGTGTAGTATGTGCCAATGAACAGAGCAAAGCATAGCATTAATATTCGTCTCTTATTCTAAAAATATCTATATGCTTTGTTTTTCATTCACTCAGAATTTCCACATTAACAGGTTTCCTCCTTTTGTTCCATTTTCTTTTAAAGTAAATGCACATGCAATATTTTAGAGGGGTGATTGTTAGTCCATATCCTTTACCAAAGCAGTTTAGAGGTACCATATTTTTTTGCAAGTATAACTGTATTGAGAATATTGGAAACAGTATATCTAATTTTGAACAGGCGATTTCTAAATAAACTATTTATTCTATTAATTTCAATATAAGCTAGTTTCAATAGTTATACTCCTATTACATTGCCCATTTCCTTTCTTATCTCCCTGACCAAATGAAGACAACATTAAATAAATATGTTGAGAGTATGAATAATTCTGGGCTTTACAGTAAAGATGTTTATGACTGGATGAAACAGGGCTGCATGGTGGTGCAGTTTGTAGAACTGTTGCCTTGCAGCATGAAGGTCCTGGGTTTGATTCCCTAATGCATGGAGTGTGCATACTGTATGTTCCCCCTGTGCATGACTGGGTTTTCTCTAGGTACTACGGCTGACTCCATATGACTGTTAGGTCAATTAGTGTCTCTAAACTGTGTGTGAGTTTGTGTGGGGTGTGTGTGCAATGTTATGTTGCCCTGCAACGGACTGTCGACCTGTCCAAGATGTACAGCATAGACTGCTGGAGATAGCCACCGGTCCCACTGTGACTGTGACAGATAAATGGAAGCTGATGGATGGATGAATTAAAAAAGTAAAGACCGTATTGAAATGTTTCTGTTCATACCATATTTAGAGACGACATACCGGCTACAGGGTCCAATCTGTTGACCTTCTTTAGTTCAGCTTAACTCAAAAAAGATTATCATGGATTTTGAATGCTTTGAAGGATGAAGGTAAAGGTTTTTTTTAGGGCTGCAACAACGAATCGATAAAATCGATAAAAATCGACTTTTAAAAGCGTTGGCAACGAATTTCATCATCGATTAGTTGTGTCGCGCGATTATTGCGTCATCCGCCGCGCCGTCATCACTGCCTCTTGACTGAAAGAGGAAGAAAAAAAATATGGCAGAGCGAGTCAGCGCCGCAGTTGCAGTGTTGCCAACTCAGCGACTTTTCAGACCCCTCCAGCGACTATTTTTCAAAAAGGCGACTAGCGACAAATCTGGCGACTTTTTTCGGTGTCACTGGCGGCTTTTGGAGACTCTTAGTGAAAGCATGTATCATTCCTACTCTGCCGTGGGGTGCCTCCCCCACCCCAACCGCGTTTTCCCGCAGGAGTCCCTCTCAGCGCTGCAGGCAGAGCCGCAGCGTCCAGACTCCAAATGAAGCGCGTATGCACCGGGATTGACGGCGCAAATTGATCACAATAATTAAAATAGCCTACGCTTTGTAAAGTGAAAAAAGTGATAACATGCAACTTTTTTCAAAAGAAATTAACATGGCACGGAACCACCATGTTTGTTTGGTTTTAAAGTGGGGAAACGTTACGTTAGTTTCTCAGGTAGCTCATCTGATGCTTTCCTTACCGTGTTAGTAGGTTACAGACAGTGATAAGGTTGGCTACTTATTTTACTTTTAATTTCATTTGAATTAGCTTAAGCAGCGTTTATATTTACTTTATAAATAAATTAACTTGCAAATTATGAGGGCAAGGCTTTTAAAGTTTAAATCTTCTGGCAAAGATAAAGTAAAGAAGATTCTGCAATTTATGGAAGTAAAGCAGAATAAAATCCAGCAAGATAAGTAATATGTCAATTAATTATATTTGCCACATTTCCATGTAAATATCTGTCTTTGGAGGATGTGTTTTTTAGCACCCCTAGTTCTCTCATTTTTATTCCAAATACAATTTATAATTTGAATCACAGGGCTATTTTTATCTCTATGGTTCAGTATTTTCTCAAGTAGCAACTTTAACTGCTATACTTTCCTGTCTTAAAAGGCAGAACTCTTCTAGTCTAAAAAAACTCATTTGTTGAAATGGGGGGGCCTATTGTTTGAACCCCTTAGGGGCTTTTAAAAACAAAAATGTCTTTTTTTTGCGCTTTATGAAACAAAGTAGCCTATATTTTGTGGATGTACAGCTACATTTCTCATGTAAGTTTGCGTAGTTTTAACACAAACATTTATTTTTCGTATTGCACCAGGACAGTTAATGAGCAACCTGTACTTGTGTGCTTGTTTGTTCTGTCTAAAATGTTTATTTTGGAATAAAGAGGTTAATATAAAAAATATTTTTTGTCCGATTCATCGATTAATCGAAAAAATAATCGTCCGATTCATCGATTTTTAAAATAATCGTTAGTTGCAGCCCTAGTTTTTTTATATTAGGCAATTAATCACTTTAAAATTTGAACTGTGTCTAAGTTTAGCTGATATCTATCATGTATATGTAGGTCTCGTACTGTGGAGTAACCTTTAAGTAAAAATAACCAGAACTTTACTGTATTATCATGGAACTACAGCTTTGTAACCATCACAGCCTGATACTGTCTGACTATAGAGTTGTTGTTTTTTTTTGTTCCTTCTTAGCACATGCATATACCTGACCTCATAGATTTACATGGTGCTTGTGTACTAAATATTTGAAACACACATATGTTGTAAGCATCCATCCATCCATTTTCTGACACGCTTATCCCTGCTGGGGTCTTGAGGGGTGCTGGTGCCTATCTCCAGCTGTCAATGGGTGAGAGGCGAGTAGACCCTGGAAAGGTTGCCAGTCCATCACATGGCAACACAGAGGCCAACAGGACAAATAATATTCAAGCACACACTTACACCTAAGGAGAATTTAGAGAAGCCAATGAACCTAACAGTCATGTTTTTGGACTGAGGGAGGAAGCCTGAGTTCCCAGAGAAAAAACCTATGCATGCACAGGGAGAACATGCATGCAAATTCAGTGAAAGACCCTGGGCCGGGAATCAAACCCAGAACCCTCTTGCTGCAAGGCAGCAGCCCTACCCACTGCTCCACTGTGTAGCCCATGTTGTAAGCAATAGCTGTGGTATTATTCCTCTTCACCCACTCAATGAAAGCTGCATCCTTACAGAGCTACACATGCTCTACACTCAAGCACACATCCACCAAGTAACCCAGCAACGACCTTTTGGCTGAAACATATTCAGAATTTTGTAAACATAATTTTCCTACCTGTTTGTGCATCTCTATGTTGAGACCATAGGACATTTCGTAGTACTGCAAAGACAAAAAAACAAGAAATGACAAAGCATTTAGTTCATGACACACATTGCATAACATATCCAGTTTAAAATCTGTTGCTCAGCATAGCCACATGTTGTTATTTATTGCTGGGGTTCCATGAAACCAAAAACCAATCAAGTAAAAAGATAGAAAATGGTCAAAGAAAAAGTGAGCAATAGATAAAACAAGTGTGTGTGACATAATAAGGCGGCCTTCATATTTAATATAAGTTATGTAGCATCTCTGTTTCACTTATACGTGTATGTTTGGCAATTTTCCATTTTACAAGGTCTTTGCTAAACTGTCAAATTAGCATAACTCTGTGTATTTGCTATACACTATGTTACTTTTTCTGCTGTGCATAGATGTAGGTGTACCATGGAATAATGATCAGCCTAATGAGACTGTGGGTGTATAAAGCATTCACAACAAAACTTGTTTCACACCAACAACAGTCAGGGCCTGGAGAAAATGCATCCAAAGCAAAATCTGAATGGAACATTATTATGCTGGCAGACAACATAAGAAGGCTTATTAGTGAACTAAGCTTCATAGAAGTATATGCGGTGATCCTGCCTTCCTGAGAAGGAATTCTCCCCTTGAAAATTATCTTCCTGCAACCTCTTATGTATTTCTTATTTATTTTTGCCATTTTCTTTATCAGTCCTCATTATATGGAACCAAAAATAAACACATCTGCAAACATAGAAATAAAATATTTTTTAAAATCTTCCATAAAATATATAAGTCATGTCCTATTGAGTTACAACAAATCAATGAAAAACGGTCTATGTCTCCATTCAGAATATCTGTCTGTATCTCCATGCTTCTCGACAAATGCTTTAACTTTGTTTGTCCCTTTGTTGATGCTTGCCATTGCAGCATGTGTCTTACCTAAATTTGCGTCTCTCTCTCTACTGTGAGTGTTACTTTGTGTACTTCAGTAATATTCTAGGAAGTAAGCACGATAAGGGAAGCGAGGATTCGTCATGGTGACAAAGGCATCCTCCGCAACAAGATGGGCAACGCTCTAACTGATGAGAGCGAGACATGGCTCTTCCTCCCTCTCTGTATTTTCCTGCTCATTTTCACTCGAGTGCTCTCCTGTCTCCATTTATTCCCCGCCTGAATCTGTCCCTCCCTCACACTCCAGTTTCTATCTCTCAGAGGCTGTCAGGCAACCTGCCCCCACCACCCCCTCTTTTTCTAGTTATTCCATTCTTACTTTTTAGCAATCAGGTTTGTCTTTCACTTCCTATCACAAGATATTTTTTTTCTTGTTTGGTTTCACTCACAATCAATCTGAATCTCTATGAAACTGTTAGCACCTTCCTGTCTAATTTTAAATTATGTCTGCTAACATAAAACATTTAAATTGTATACCGCACAATTTCTAGATTAATTTCAATAAATGTTTTATGCATACTATAAATTATACAATGCATTTAGATATAAAGTACAAAAGAGGACAAATGCAGATCAGAACCCAGTACAGAGTTTGGTGAAACTAAATACATTTTCATGTATTGTACTGCTGAATTTCACCTCAGGCAGGGACATGCTCCAACATATTTTACTGCTTCGGTGCCAATGTCAGTTTTCCCTCAAGTATATATTAAAATTGTCCCAGGGAGTGGGTGGAATGCCTGGAATTTTATTGTTAGCTAAAAACGAAACCTGAAGTATGAGCTTAAAATACAAAAGAAGCACATTGATTTAATTCAATTTATTAGAACACATTATTATGACTAAACTGGTTAAGCTGGCAGCAGGTTAGTCAACCTTTACCAACACAGAGAATATGGTTTAGTTGTTTAAACACATCCTGTAGCTTTTGTTTAGCAGCACAAATTATTAAACAAATAATTTGATAAAAGGGAATTAGGTTTAGATGGGATGCATGAATGAAACATGGAAGGGTGGTCAGAACCACTCTGTTTGTGGAAGAAGTGAGGTTAAGATACATGTTCAATGATTATAAACCAAAGTTTCATTTCTTTTTAACTATTATATTTTATATAATTCTTGTAAATAACAAGGACTGAAAGAAAAGTGATTTTTTTCTTAACACAAAATATTAGTAATGAAAAATAAAACAGAACAAGAATAAGGAAGAGGGTTATCTAAAATAGAATATCCACTCTTAATGGCTGATTATACTCCACAGTAGAGTGTCACCGTGAAGTCGAAGTTTTGACGCCAATATTTTTGATTTATGCCCAATTTGGAAGCATGGTCTGCGCTACATTATTCCACGCCACAACACAAGAGGTACAATCACGAACTAGCTGTGGGTCTAGATACGGCCGAGGCAGTGAGGAAGTGGGAAAAACACAAGAGGCAAGTTTGTGCGCCAACGGAGGGACATGAGGGCGGAAAATAGGTGGAAAAAGGATCCCAGCGTTCTCGTGCACCTCGCTCTTCTAGCTTGTCCAACTTCACGAGTCGTTTTCCAAACTGGCGGTCATACAAACAAAACAAGCCGGTAGGGTACCAAACAGGAAATACGGATAGATTGGATGTAGATTTGACCAATCAGAGGCCTCCTGTCTGCGGTCACCTACAATTTTGGAGAGGTGCAGCAGAGTGTCTGCGGAAGGGGCAGGGGCATATCTGTGTAAACTGCGACACACGCAGACGACCTGGTTTCTGAGCATAAACCAGCCTTTAGGGTCGCTGAGTGCCCCTAATGTGTCACAGCATTCCTCTGTGCAGCTTACATGGGTCTTGTTGGTACAATGACAATAAAGATTTATCTACTCTTGCCTTGTCTTGTAAAAAAAAAAAAAAAGACTGTCTAAATTAATCAGAAAGTGGGTCACTCTGCCCTCCCGTGTAAAGCGTGTCATACTCTACAATAACTGTGAAATGTGTTCTTGTTCTTGAGAAGGAAAGTATAAGAAAAAAGTTTGTTTTGCCTCCGAGTATTCAAACTTTGCAAGAAGCTCAAATGCTGAACTTGTAGAAAGTACCATTGACTTCATCCCACGTCACACCCGGAAAAGAAAACAACAGCAACACAATAGCAGAGGAGGCATTTTTCGGAGTGATAAGGGGGGCCAGAACTAAATGCTTTATATTACTTTGTAAAAGTATCATTACAGATGCTTATTTTCTCACCACATCTCCCAGCACATTCTAAAAGTATCCATTGCATCACAGATTTCCCCACCTGAAATAATCTCCAAACCAAGAGCAACAGGGAAAATTATATTTTTTTTAGCAAATCCCATCCAAATCCTGACCAATACCACAACTCTTGGACATAATGCTGGAAAGAAAGAAAGAAAATTCTGCACAGGCTTTATGTCAAGAACAAGCAGTGAGGACCACCAAGACGGGGCTGCAAGAATATAATAATGTTATTTGTTCTTGCTGCTGTGGGAGTTTATCTACATGCTAAACCACTTCAACAGCTCAGAGAGACATCAGTTCATGTGCTCTGATAGCTGATAAACTACAGTAGCCCACCAGCTGCAAACATGTAGTGTGTTATACATTCATTAGTTGTTAAAATGAATATTTTACAGCATGTTTTACAGTTTGAATTTCGTTGATCTTTAAATTAAAGTCACCTCCTAGAGGGAGGATTGAAATAAAAGCTAGTTTTTTTTTTAAGCAGTATAGGTATTTGTATTTTTTAACATTAAACTTAATTAAGGAGGAAATCAGTCACTTAGATTAAAAAAAAAAATCAGAGACTTGCATGCTATAACCGTCGCTCTGAACAGCATGCTAGGATGAGTTCATCTTTATCAATGAGGACAAAGCTCTCCATTAGCTAAACATAAAATCAATCACAGCCATTATCGTTTCTCAGCTGAAATTTTTGAGTTTGCATGGCTTTAAAAATAATTCTTCATAAAGAGAAAGCAAAGAAAATTGTGATTCAAGCTGCCTATATTTATATGGAATAGAAAATATAACAATGTGACTGGATGAATTGGAAAAGAGTTTGGTTGGATTGTTTCTATCCAGCAAGGGAAACCATTTTGAACCTAACTTTGACCTTATTCTCTTTGTGCTCCATTGAGATCTTCTGTCTTTCTGTGTTTGCAGTCATGTTTTCCTCCCTGTTCTTTTTTTCCCACCTTCTCCTTTATCCACAGGTTATTTCCTGGTTTTCTGGCCAAACATAAATTTTTTCAGTTTTCTTTCTGCTGTCTTCAACCTACATCTGTTTAATCACTTTCTTGTTTTATGACCACATTTGATTCACTTTTAGCTTTGTCTCTTACACAGCAATACTAATTGATATTGATTATGTCAATATTTTAAGTTTTGTTTTAGCTGATCTCTTTCACTCTACATCCATTTAACCTTTATAAGTTCTTATTTAGCACCTTATCTACATGTTTTCTTTTTTCATTTCTCCAATAGAAAGATTGACAAAAACTATTTCATACTTGCAAGAACACATGTATTTGGGATATTTATTTGAAAAGAAACACAAATCAAGACACACATTAAAGCAAATCTGAGTAAACATTCTTAAAAAAAGCCATTTGTGCTTTAAGGTCTGCCCTCCCTCCTGTTTTCGCACCATACAAATTTGAACATCGCTCCTCCTTCAAGTTATTCCTTTTCTCTTCACTTCTCTGCCTTTCCTCTCTTTTCTGATTACATCCTGTGTGTCTTGCCTATTATAACTGATTTGAACAAAATTATGCATAGATAAGTTTAGCACTAGTTTAAAGTATAGGAAAGTAAATATAGAAATAGTAATGGTTCCGATTCCTGAAAAAGGACATAGTAATACTGTTGTGAGTTTGTATGAAGAGCGTCAGTACATTTAAAAAAGGTTCTAGCCTCAGTTTTGATTTGCATTGAATATTTATATCAGTATCAAACAATGCTAAAGTAGTGAGTATTCACTATCTGAAAGTAATTCTTACTTTTTCTCAGCAAAACATTTCTTTATACCAGTGCAGAAAAACAAATCCCAGACAGAATAAAGGAACGGTTATCAGCTCATTGTTGCAATCATTCTAATA